GTGAGGCAAAACACGAAACCACCTCCTCTAAAACCGCCCCCATCCGAGTATCCCCCACCGCCGCACTATTGATCTTATCAATGACTACCTTGGCGTCCCCTTCAAAGCAAACCTCTGAGAACCCGTACGCTAGACACCAGCAGAAAGCCTCGCGCAAGGCCAGCACCTCCACCACCATAGGGTCATCAATGCCCTGGAATTGGAATCCTCGAGCCATCAGAATATCTCTAGAAGGGGTCATCACCACTACTCCTCCCGCCGAATGCGACCCCAGTCTTGTTGCCCCATCCCACATGCATATAATCTGGCTGCCAGTCCTACTGGTAGTAGACGTGGGTCCGGGAGCACGAACATGATTCCTCCGCTCGACCGGCACCCGCGACCACTCATCCACCTGCTGATACAGCTGTCGCAGCAAGGCCGGGATCCCGAATTGTTTGCCCTAAAAAACAACCCAATTACGAGAACGCCAGATCCTCCAGAGTATAGCAATCACAGTCATAGCCAACTCCGGGTTCTGAATGAGGGCCAGCATACGCTTAAGAAAGAGCGGGAAAGTATGGCGTGGTAGCCCCTGACCCAAATACTCAAGCCCAGTGTAATCCCAAAGCGCCCTAGCCACTGGGCAATCCAGAAACAAGTGCTCCATGGTTTCCTCAGCATCCCAACAAACCGGGCATCTAGGGTTGACCAACACATCTTTATCACGCAAGGCCTCAGTAGTGGGGAGAATCCGATTAAAAATTTGCCAAACAAACACCTTGAGCTTAGGTGGTATGTTGGCCTCCCATAATCGGATCCAGCTTGGCCTATCCATCCAACTAACCGTAGCTTTACAACGCTGACTCTGCTGCCTTAACCTAACCGCCAAGTGATAAGCCGATTTTACAGTAAAAACCCCATCAGCTGTGTCATTCCACACAAGGCGATCCTCGATATTATGTCGAGGAAGCGGAATGCTTATAATGGCACGGCAGGTAGGGGGGTCAAACCACTGCCTGAGCATTGACTCATCCCACCGCCCTTCACCAGGCACGATCACTGCCTCGACCCGAAGGTCTCCTTCCTCCGGCAGAACCACGGGGTTATAACGCGGGGGGGACGGATGGAGGGACGGCACCCAGTTAGACGAAAGCAGAGAGGCAGCCCGGCCATTACCGATCTGCCATCTTACCCCTTGTTCTAGCAATTGCCTGCCATACAGAATACTCTGCCAGCCCCAGGATGGCCGGGAACGAGCAGTAGCCGTCAGGAATGTCCTTGAGGGGAAATACTTTCCTTTATATACTTGAGCTAACAAGGATAGAGGATCAGACATGATTTGCCACCCAATTTTGGCAAGCAGGGCTTGGTTGAATAGCTCAAAACAGCGAAACCCCATGCCCCCATCATGCTTGCTTCGACACATATTTCTCCATGACATCCATCTAACTTTAGGGTGACCTTCCACCACATTCCACCAAAACCTAGCCACATGTTTATCCAACAATCGACATAGGGAAAGAGGAACTTTGAAACAGGACATGACATGTAACGGGAGTGCCAGGGCAACCGATTTGATCAGAACCTCCTTAGCCGCCCAAGACAACGTCCTTTGCTTCCACCCTTGCAGACGCTCAAGAAGTTTTTCCTCAAGGTACCGAAAAGTATCCATTTTAGATCGGGTAATCAACGTGGGTAGTCCCAGATACTTATCATGGACCCCAACCGCCCCCACCCCCAAAATCTGCGCCAAGAACTCCTGATCAGGCACTGCTATGTTTTTGCTAAAGCATACCGCAGATTTGGCTAGGTTAATCCGCTGGCCGCTTAGTTCCTCGTATTCATTTAATACTTCCATCAGGTTTTCACATTCCTCTAGGGACCCCCTGAGGAACAGGTAAGAATCGTCAGCAAAAAACAGGTGGGAGATGCGAGGTGCCCGAGGAGCCACTTTAACCCCTTGAAGTTTCCGTTCCGAGATTGCCTTGTCTAGAAGGGCCGCGAATCCCTCTGTGCAAAGCACAAAAAGAAGGGGAGAAAGAGGATCGCCCTGCCGCAGACCCCTAGACGAGGTGAAGTAGCCAGCTGGCGTGCCATTCATCATAACTGAGAACGAAGTGGACTTGAGACACTCCAGAATCCATCCTCGCCAAGTAGAACTAAAACCCAACTTCTCCAAAACTGCTAGGAGAAATGGCCATTCGACTCTATCATAGGCCTTTTCCATGTCAACCTTCAGAGCCATGTACCCTTTCTTGCCTTTCGTTTTGATTTTCAGATAATGCATTAGTTCATGCCCGAGGAGAATGTTCTCCACTATTTGGCGTTCCCTGATAAAAGCGTTTTGGCCCCGGGAGACAACCTACGGGAGGAGACTAGCCAACCTCTCAGCCATAAGCTTGGTTATAATCTTGTACACAAACTGACAGAGGCTTATCGGCCGCAACTGCTTCATAGTTTCCACATTATCAACTTTGGGAATCAACATCAACCAAGTATGATTGAAGCTACGTAGCAGCCTACTAGTCCGAAAGAAAGAACAGACCGCCTCAACCACCGAGGTGCCAACGATATCCCAGAAGGCTTTAAAGAACTTTCCCGTAAACCCATCGGATCCTGGGGGTTGTTTTGAGCCCATAGAGAACACCACTTTCCTTACCTCTGCGGGCATGACCTCCTTATTAACTGCATAAGTCGCTTTAACTACTTCCTTATTAAAGCTTGGTTAAAACTGTGTAGCTCCCTGAAGCCCAAGCCACCCTTTTCTGGGTGACATAAGGAATTTCCAATTAAGCCAGGAGTTGTCCTTTCTTCTTATTATTGCTCCACCATAAATAAGCTATTAGTTTATGTAATTACACAGATCACTCCAATAGGGAACATAAAAACTAACACAACATTCGTTTAGTTGGCTTGTGCTACATACTTAACTAGAACTTCTTTTCCCCGCTAATAACAACTTACTTTTCTATAGCTCCACTTTCTTTCTTTCTGACTAGATCCACCAAATGACCAAATAAATTTTTTTATTGCTCTTCCAATTCGAGTAGGCAACTCTAGATACTTTTCATGACACTCCACACACTTCATTCCTAGGATTGCAGCTAGGGATGACAACTTTCCCCATACCCATAGGTTTTTTACTATCTAACCCAATTGGGTTGGGTATGAAATCCAAATAGATGGATATGGGTAGAATTTGATGGGTTTGTACCCATACCCATTTACTTTGGGTTGAGTTGGGTTTATATCAAATGGATTTTGGGTTTGTACCCATGTCCAAATACAAATTACAGTTTGGTACCCAAACTTAATAGATATGCTTATTTAGTACCTAAATTTAATTTTTTTATGCATATAAGTCCTCAAAATATCGATGGAAAATTACGTTTTGGTACCTAAATTTTTTTGGTCTTACATTTTGGTACCTAAACTTTTCAAGTTGTACAAATAGGTCCAATTTTTTGCTTGTGTAGTTAAAACACCCTCAAGTAAATGGATATCCATATCCAACCCATACCCATTTAGATTATGGAAACCCCAAACCCATCTATAAACCCCCAAATTCATATGCACTTCACCCATACCCAACCCATTATCAATGAGTCTACTTGGGTTTGGGTATAATTACCCATGGGTGGGTAATTTGTCATCCCTAATTGCAGCAAGGTATTACTTCTATGTTTGGTCCAAACTCTACCACTAATTTTTTTTATATTTATGCTTCTTTTTTCTTTCTAACTGATTAAATTTATTAAACCCCTATAGGTTGTTAGGATGAGGGATTTTGCCCAAATTTCTTATTCTCCCGGATTTTGAAACAATAACTCATCTGAAAAGTCGATAGATTTCAATATTAGAAATTTTCAAAACCCTCAATTGTGAGTCTTTGAAATAGCTTATAACCATAAACTATTTCAAAATCCATCGTTCTTATTTTTCATTTTCCAAATGTTATCCTTCCTTCTTTCTTCTTCCTTTGATCCACATATGTAGGACAACAACTTCGTTCGTCGTCCCCCGATTTTTTCAATCCCTTCGTTGCTGGGTCGGATAATAAAAGAGACGAAAGATGAAGATGGGATAGGAGAAATTTGGATGAGGATTTGGATTTTGTGGGATATCTGAGAGATTTGATGGTAAATGGTCGGGATTTAGAGAAACCCATACCATTAGTCATTTGGATGAGAGATATAGTAGTCATCGAGTTCATTTGGATGAGCAACATCTGGTATGGGATGGTAAATGGTCGGGTTTGTCTAAACCCAAATCAACTCAACGCGTGCACCATTAAAAATTCCAAACCATTAATTTTAGAAGTGAAAATCCAACCCAAATCAAAACATAACCATGCATTTAAGAACATAATGATATTTATTTATTCGAACACTCACATCGTATTATCATAATGTTTATCAAAAAGTTTCCTGCAAATATATCTCCATAAAAACTACTAATATCCATAAATTATCCTTATTATTATATTTATATTGTCTTACGGACTAATAACATTCATAAATTACATATACTGTTTCAGTTACATACAAAATTGTGCCAATTTTCTTTATGTTGCGGGTCGGGTGGAAAGCGAGTTTGAATTTGATAATATCCAAACCCTCCCCAATCCATTAATTAAAAAATGGATAAAGTAGACACCCGATTCAAAATCTATCAGCACTAGATTTACCGAATTTGACCGAATTTCATCGCATTGAGTACTTGTAACCAATGTAGTCAAAATCGCGCTTTAAAACTTTTTACATTTTTACGTTTCTAGGTCACTAAAACGCTTCTACACAAAAAAAATCTTAGTTTTTACAACTTATTTAGTTAATTAATAACTCCGCTTTAAAACTTTAAAACTTACTATTTTACGCTTTTAGATCACCAAAACATTTCTACATAGTAACTCGTTTTTACTATCTGTAACTTCGAGTTCTATCGTATCTCTAGTATGGGCTGATTCGTTCGTGATACAAAATTATAAAAACCGGCCCGCACAAAGCCCGGATATGAACACAGTTCGAAAACCCATGACAAAAGGGGCCGGATCTAAAAACATCTTTTTCTTACCGTTATATGCCCACACCGTGCCCCACAATTCCCAGGGCCAAGAATTCAAAAAAGAGGGCCAACCCAACCCAAAAGAAAAAAAGCCCCTCCTGGGCGTGGCCGGTGTCCCTTTCCCAACGGCTACTTTCCATCCTCTAAACAAGTAAAGATCTTTTAGATCTCCTCACCTCTTCCAGTCCCAAATCATTTTCGCCATTGCTATATTCCCGCACTCGACAGTAGCCCATAGAATTCTCTCGCCGTTAAATTCGCCTGTCTGTGACCCGATTTCCTCTTTCCCTAAATCTCCCATCAATTTAGGATCCCTGCAATTAAGTCCCCCCCCCCCCCAACCGCTACTAAATCTATGGAGATGGATTCCGCGCCCATAAATTGCACGCAGAGGTCGAACCCAAGCGCTGCTCTCACGAAATCAGCTTCTCGATTAGCTCGAAACACGGCCTGTTCCGTCCAAGGGAAAGATCCACCACCTCACCTTTCAATCGATCTCGTGCTCCCTTCATCGCCCAAGAGAGGACAGTCCACGCCCTCGGGTCTTTCAGCCAGGTCATCCACGAGCTCTCTCCCTCTCCGCGAACTCCTCCTCCTTTCGCCGTCGCCTTCCAGGAAACCCAGGGTTCGGCCGGCCGATCGGATCGAGATGGCGCCGGAGGAAGCAGGTGCCGGCGGGGTTGAGCCAGCTGGAGCCCGCCGCAGGTGCAAGACCAGGGGATCTCAAGTGGGTGGCTTGGGATGCGCTTCCCCACGGAACAGCAGGAGGTTGAGGAAGAGGTTGGAGGTGGATATTAGAGAAGAGCGGGAATCGGTGGTGGGTTTAGGGGAGGAGTTTGGGAAACCGAGGAAGAGACGGCACGGCGGTGGTGGTGGCCGGTCCAAGAAGGAGAAGCTCGCTTTGGTTCCACCGCTGCCTTCGTCGAGTTACTGTCCGAGTACGTAAAACTGATCTCTTGTTTTCTTGGATTTTTTCAAGTTCGGGTCGTTTTCCCCGTTTTGTGCTCACCACCTGTTTGTGGTTTTTCCTCAACGGGATTTTTCAGAAGCTGATGATTGCGATGGAAGCAATTTCGATAGACTTGGGGCGACAATATATGATCTTGTCATGTGGGAAGACGTTGCCAAATCTAGCCTCTGGTTTGGTTTCGGCTCCTTGTGTTTCCTATCTTCTTGCTTCGCAAAGGGCATCAACTTCAGGTTAGTTCCGTAATGTCCCGGTTCCATTTCATTTCACAAGATAATCTTCTGCAGTTTGTGATGGGAGCTCTTTCTTTGTGCCTTCAGCATGTTTTCTGCTATTTCCCAACTCGGGCTTCTGCTTCTAGGAGCATCATTCTTCTCCAACTCAATATGCCAAAGGTAGGGTGATATCCGTTGTGATCTCTGGTGTTGTAGTTTTAAAGTCCCTCCTAGTTCTGCTCTAAATTTGGGTTATGGCTAAATCACAGAAACACCAATGCAAATGAACGAGACGGTAGGCTGAAAGACGAGGACATCCTGAGATTGGGTAGGTTGATACTTCCGCCGGCAAATCTTGCAATCTCAAAGACCAGGCAGCTTTTCTCTGGTGAACCATCCATGACGCTGAAAGTAAGTCATGCCAGCTTCCGTTGAAATGGTAATCTCAATGATATGGGCTACAATGTGGTCCGCTGGATAACTTACAGCAGTATTTCCTTTTCTGTTGGTAACAGGTGATCCCGTTCTTGCTTCTGGGAGCTGAGTTTGGTCACCTTATCACCTTCCGGAGGCTTTGTGCAGTAGGTAATAGAATGACAACTTCCTCATCCAAAACGCTTGGGTTTTAACTTCATCGTTGGATCTCTTGATATGAACTCTTGGTTGTTTCTGCACAGGATTTTTTGCTAGCTTCACTGCCCCAAAACTGTATTCATGCTACTCTGATCAGATAACCCATAAAGGTACGGCCAAGGAAACAACATTCAACACCCTTGTAGACTTGTAGTCATTACTTGCAAGGCATATAGCTGTTTGGATTGCTGGAACCAACTTCCGTGTTTTGTGTGTCAAAACAATGCAGTTGAAAACGCAAAATGCAGAATTTTGGAGACCTGGGGCTCCTGCTCTCGCAAGAAGCTTGTCACAGCATCGGCTATCACAGCCTTCTGGAATTTGTCCAGCATCAAAACCCGAATTTTCACTGGTAATAAACTTCAATCCAGATATGGGTTTTCTTCTGCTTCTAGAGTTCCCTGCTGATGGCAAGATAACGGGTTTTCTTTTTCCAGCATTCATAGTCTTGGTCATACTCCGTTGCTGCCGGAAGCATATACTGCCAGAGATGGGAGATGAGGCGGCACCAGTTGAAGCAGTTCAAGAGGACAAAGAGGAGGCAGCAGTAGCTCGAGTAGAGGCAGGAGCAGAAGGGGATGCGGCAGAGGAGGATATGGAGCTAGAGGAAGAACAGGAGGAAGTACTGCCAATGGTGGTGGCAACAGAAATGTCGCATAAATAAGTACTGAACAACCGCTAATAATCCAATGTAGTAAGTAGCCTTCAGCAATGGGGGATGCTTTTCCGTGTCCATATAGAATAACTTCACGGTTTGTAATCATAGAGGAAATGCGTCATTTCCAGAGTTGATGCGTGCATTTTGTGTACAAGTAAAAACTGCTTTTTCCCCAACTTGTTCAACCAGCCACGCTTTGAGATGATTTTTGAAGAAAGATCCAGTTATCCGGCACGAGCTGTAGCTTTCTAGTCCCTAAGGGTTATTACGATGATGTTGCTACTAGTCCCTAAGGGTTATCCGGCACGCACTAGGGCGTGCACCAAGAACCCCAGCTTCCTCTAAGACAGTGGCGGATACATGCATGGTTAGGGGTGTCCCGGGACACCCCTAAAATGTGGAAACACGATTATTCAATTTACGATAGTAGTTTACGTATGAGAAAAAAATGTTTAAGTGGTAGTGGGACACCTTTAAATTTTGGGAAAATGATTATCCAATCTCCCGTAGTAGTTTGCGTATTGGTACAAATAATATTTAAGTAGTAGTTTATGTGGTTTAAATTTGGGACACTGCCACTATTAGTTAATATATTTTCAATTATGCTACAACTCATTTGTTAGTGTGTTTTAGATCCAAATACAATAGTAAAATGTTATTCTTATCTCAAATTATTTTCAAAACCTAACGATTAAACTCAATTATGGGATATCCTTGTCTATTAGGATATGTCAAGAGCAATATAAACACCGAATGCATTTTATCATTTGACGAAACACGTCTGAACTTTTAATGAAACTTTTATTAGTTAGATATTTTCAAATTTAATAATTATTTAATTTAATTCTAATATTTAATTAGATATAATTTTTTATAGAGGACACCCCTACGTAGAATTCCTGGATCCGCCACTGCTCTAAGATGTCAAGAACATATTTTCTCCGGTTAACAATGAGCCTTTGCGGTTATTGAGCAACTTCTAAACCCAGGAAGTAACGCAAAGGACCCAAGTCCTTAATGCTGAAACGGGTGTCGAGAAATTCTTTGACACGCTCTATGAAAGATATATCGGTTCCTGCAAGGATCACATCATCGACATATATAAGAGCAACAACAAAGGAAGTACCTCGCTTATAGATGAAGAGCGAGTGATCTGCCGGAGAAGCTCGAAAACCAAGTTCGCATAGGGCCGTAGTGAACTTTTGGTACCAATTTCGGGAGGCCTGTTGCAGGCCATATATTGACTTGTGGAGACGACAAACTCTCTTATTACCGGGAGCAGCAAACCCAGGGGGAACCTTCATTTAAACTTCTTCATGTAAGTCACCATGCAGGAAGGCGTTATTTATGTCTAGCTGATGGATGAACCAACCACGACTGGCAGCAACAGCAAGAAGAGTGCGAACTGTAACAAGTTTCGCAACTGGAGCAAAGGTATCGTGATAGTCAAGACCTTCCACTTGAGTGTGGCCTTTGGCAACCAGACGTGCCTTGTAGCGTTCAATGGCACTTTGTAGCGTTCAAAATGCGAAAAACCCATTTTGAATCAATGAGATGAACGCCTGGAGGAGGATCGACAAGGGTCCAGGTCTTGTTGGCCTCAAGAGCTTGGACTTCAGTTTTCATGGCAGCGCACCAATGTGGACATCGAACTGCTTCATGAAAGTAGCGGGGCTCAGGAGTACGAGTGACGGCTGCTGCAAATGCACGATAACGTGAGGTGCAACGAGCATAAGAGACTTGACTTGAGATATGATACTTGACATTAGAAGCTGAGTGAACATTAGTATCATAAATATCCAATCGCTTGGAAGGCCACCTCTGGCGAAGGCCACGTCCAAGAACTGGAGCAGGACTAGGTGAGGAGGACTGCTCGTGGGGAGAGGTCTCTGAAGTGGGGAGATTGAAAGGGACTGGCCGGTGACTTGGAAAACTCACGACCCAATTGCTGTTCTTCACCTTCATTTGACGTAGAGGAAGGAAAAGAAGGAGAGCTGGTCATTGTTCCTTGCGACACAGTAGGTGCATGGTCATGCACGGGGGAGGTACGTGGAAGGGGCTCGTCCACGACAAGTGGGTTGGGTCGCGCCATTTCTTGGCCTCGATCAGGATCAAATGTATCGGCCGAAATCCAGTGAAACTCCCGAGGATCCTGATGAGCATGGAAAGGGAAGTAGTTTTCGTGGAATACAACATCACGAGATACTATCACCTTTTTGGCAACAAGTCATAGACCTTGTAACCATTTTGAGTTGCTGCGTATCCTAAAAACACACCGGCACGCCCCCGGTCGACGAATTTTGAGAGTCCCCCATGATTGTCCTTGAAGTATACGAGGCACCCGAAAACCCTCAAGTGATCATACGAGGCCAACTTACCAAACAGAACTTCAAACGGAGTTTTTTTAGTTGCTTTCGTGGGTAGACGATTTATCAAGTAAACAGCTGTCATCACACATTCACCCCAGAAACGGATAGGAAGACCTGCATGAAACCGCAATGCACACGCAGTCTCAAGTATATGACGATGTTTACGCTCCACTACTCCATTCTGCTGAGGAGTTTCTATACAGCTTGTCTGCAGAATGATTCCTGACTTCTCATAGAACTCACGTAGCTCAGCTGTTTTGAACTCTAGTCCATTATCTGTTTGTATATGCTTGACAAGTTTATTGAATTGAGTAGACACCATCTCACAAAAGCTCAACAAATGACGAGAAACTTCAGACTTGAATTTCAGTAAATAAACTCACACCACGACTAAAATCATCCACGATAGTCAGAAAATAATGAGCTCCACTCAAGGAAGCAACCTGATATCCTCCCCAAATGTCAACATGAATCATCTCAAAACAACCCGAGGTCTTGATGGAACTGATGGGAAAGGGAATTCTAGTATGTTTAGCTCGCAAGCAAGAATGACAAGGATTCTGAACTAAACTAGAAGTGAAGGAAATAACATGGCTAAGCTTCGAAAGTTTTAAAGGGGATGGATGGCCCAGACGACCATTCCAGACATCCTCGGCTACCAATTTCTTTCCTTCTGCAGTAAAAACAAAACGCTCCTAACTGCTCAGCATCTTCAAGTAATATAACCCATCACGGAGAATCCCCTCCCAATCACGTTCTTGGAGAGTGAGTCCTGAAGTATACACAAATCATTGATGAATATCACGGCCACATTATTTTCTCTGGCTAACCGACTGACTGATAGAAGATTACATTTAAACTTTGGAACATATAAAACCCGATCCAGTTTTAACTCAACAGAGAGCTCAACTGACCCAACCTTTCTTACTGGAATACTGTCACCATTCGGTATTTTAACTGGATGACTAACTTGATCAACGATTTCACCACTCAACAAATGAGCATCGTTAGTAATGTGCTCATTGCACCCAGAATCGATCAACCATTCGGAATTGGCGGAGAACATACCTGCCATATGTGTTGAGGGGTCATCCACTGCCTTTGGTGTTGTAAGAAGACTCCTTAGTTGGTTTAGTTGCTCAGCTGTAAACCCAGGAATGGGACTAGTCTCGGTTTCAACTTGTGCTGCGCGAGGATGGGAATCGTTTTGGCGACGACGTCCTCTATCTGGTCGATCTCCCTGTCCATTTTTGTCTCGAGTTGGCCAGCCTATCAACTCGTAACAAGTCTCTTTGAAGTGTCTGATTTTACCACAATGGCTGCATTTGGGCTTTGGTCGGTCTTCGTCGCTTCGAGTACGATCTCCCTCGCCTCGAACTCGATCTCCTTCACCTCGAGCACGTTCTCCATCACCTCTGGCCCGATCCCTCTCATTTCGAGTAGCAAAGGCGGCTGTTTCAGATGCTGGCTTTCTCTTTTGCGCAAGGAGACGTTGGTGCTCATCATTGGCAACAATATTATACGCTTCTGCCAAGGTGGGTGGTGGCTTCATGGACAAGATTTGGCTACGAACAGTTCCAAAAATCTCGTCGAGCCCCAAGAGAAAATCAAACAGCCTTGCTGTCTCCTCCTTGGTTTGAATACGGCGCTCAAGTCCACATTGACACAAACCACAAGTACACGTCTCACTAGGTGAGATCGCACTAGCCTCTTCCCAGAAGGTACGTAATTGAGTATAAAATGAAGACACTGTAAGTTTTTCCTGCCATAGAGCCGAAATCAATCGGTGCAACTCATACCCTCGTGTGAGAGACCCATGGCCGAACCTCTCTTTTAAGTCAACCCAGATTTCGCGCGCAGACTTAGCGTACCGCACACTACTGCGGACTTCTTGGTTCATGCCATTCGAAGCCAACCCTTCACGTGGGCGTCACATCGAGTCCACATCCGCAACTCAGACTCCTTTGTTGCTTACCAATAGTACCATCAACAAAATCGAACTTGTTCTTGACAATCAAGGCGTCGGTCACATCAACAACCCATTCAGCATAATTGGTTGGTGTGAGCGGATCACCTACTTGCAATTGACTATTGCTATCTGAAGGATGAAGATAATAAACCGAGGATTGGTCGAACTCACCAATGACATTCTTTTCGGAACTGCCGCTAGAGGTAGGAGACTCTGGTTTCTTCGTATCGCTTGTGTCCACCATATTGATGCGAAAATAACCTTACTAAGGGCCTTGCTCTGATACCATGAAAAATATGCAAGCACAAATAAAACGACACACGATGTTTTACGTGGTATCCCCGATATGATGATCGGGACTAGTCCACGGGAGAGATCAGCCTCTCCGGCTCTTGCTCTTATTGATTATCAATTCAATATAACTCCGGTTTCTTCGTATCGCTTGTGTCCACCATATTGAAGCGAAAATAACCTTACTAAGGACCTTGCTCTGATACCATGAAAAATATGCAAGCACAAATAAAACGACACACGATGTTTTACGTGGTATCCCCGATATGATGATCGGGACTAGTCCACGGGAGAGATCAGCCTCTCCGGCTCTTGCTCTTATTGATTATCAATTCAATATATCTGGTCGTGAGACCTTACAATCATATATATATATATATATTACTGCAGGAGAGGGGTAACCTAGCCAAACTACTTAGGTTAAACTTCCCAATCTTATTTGATACAGGAGAGTCACTCGAGCAGGCCATATTGGCCGTGGGCTGTTGCTGTCCATGTGGGGCTAGGCCCAATACGTATCGAATAATAAAGTAAAGGCTTATCGACACCAATGTCGTTCTCTCACTTGTGAGTTACAAGCAAAACCTTTGAACTGTGGGTAACAGTTCATCAATTGATATCAGAGCATGGTTACATATCCGACCGGGATGGGTGGAACGGCGGCTGGAAGATTTTCCGCGTTGGAATTGGCAATGGAGGAGATGCGGGCCGTTAGGGATGACAAAAATATCCGTAACCGTGAATATCCGCCCGAATCCGACCTAATCGGGTAGGGTAAAACCTGAACCCGAAGGACTTTTAGTGGGTACGGGTAAAACCCGAACCCGAATATTGCGGGTAATGGGTGGGCATGGTTTTCTCCCTATCCAACCGGAACACGCCGATTATACACATGCATATGTATTTTGTCTAGAAATAATCAATATTTTTCTCTAACATATTTTATATTTAGCATATAAATATAATATTTTTTGAAATTGTGTTGTTTTAAATAATTTTGTTCATTCTAGTGAATAATTGTCGTACTTTTCGTCTTACGTAACGTGATAATACGTGTGAATATTACTAAATTAGTTGAAGTTATAAAGAGAAACCATTACCCATAGATAACCGTGGATACCCAAAACCCGAACGGGTATGGGCACGGTTTGGATTTTCTAGCTGTTTTTTTTTTTATGTGTGTATGGGTATGGCCGTATGGGTAAGCCTTCCAAGGATGAGGGCAGCTGAAGCGACAGCAGGGAAACTTTCCTAGCAAAGGTCGCTAGGTTGGAATTTCACCGATTTGCGGGGGAGGATCCAGGGGCATGGTTTCCTCGCGTGGAGCAATTTTTTGAGTGGTGGCAGCGGCTGAAGCGGACCTACAAAGACACGAGAGAGTCGATTTCATGTGGACTGTTCTCCCAGGAGCTCTAGGCTCGGTTCAGTCCGATTGAGGGAGAAAGCTGCGACAAAGCCCTATCTCGAATTCGTCAGACCGGGACCCTGCGCAACTACCAGAAGAAATTTGAAAAGCTGGCTAATCACTGTGTTTGTTGGACGCAACAGACATTGGTGGGCACATACTTAGGGGACTTGAAGCCGGAGATCGCCAACGAGATCAGGATGTTTCTTCCGCAGTCTTTGCACAATGCCATCAGCCTTGGCAAGGGTGAAGAATGATCACATCCAGCCTGGTTCATTAATCCGAATGCAACTCCCACAATCCTCAACCAAATTGACTAATGTTTCCTTCTAAATACCATAGATTCACATCAGCGAAACAAGAAGTTGCCCTGAAGAGAAGAGGATGGGATAATAAGAATTAAGAAGAAAAAAAAAAAAAACACAATATCAAAATAATTTGCGAATGATATTCTGGTAGTTTCAACTTTCAACTCGCCAATCCGTAACTCCCCTGATCACATCCACTCTTAAATAACGATTCTCCAAACAAACTTAACCATAAGAAGAAAGGTCCCTTCCCCTGATCACATCCCTTGACCATATATCAGGAAGGATTCCATGCCGGATTCACAGAGTCATTACAGCCCTATAAGCAGATGAAAGAAATGAGTTAGAAACCCATCGAGGAACGTCCCTATGGCAGTGGCCTCACTCGAGGATGTTCTCGTCAACATTTTCAGATGGGAGAGACGATGCATTTGAAGCAGTTTCACTAGGCAAAACATTTCAGGTTCTTAAGAGCAGCAAGAAAGACTGATGTTCAAGAATAAAAAACAGACAAAATGTCCGTTCTCTTGGGCAGGGTAATATGACCAGCATTTACACAAAGAGAAGACATAGTAAGAACTCATTGTCTTTAAAGTTGCACTACTACATGAAAAGTATCAGAGAAGAGTAGTGCAATAGCTCTTCACATTTAAGTTCGTTTCCCTTCTAGTCTACTACACAAATAATAACATCAATGTGATAAAATCCCCTGCCGGACCGACCATTTCTAGGTGAAGAGGATTCCCCAACGGAACTTCTTCTGTAGTCATTTGACATTCATCATCATACATCATCATTGCAAGCTGGTTATGTAAAAGATTAATTAGTTGCCTATTGTTGTGAACCAGCAACAGAATAATGAAAATGCTTGGCAGAAAGATCACAGAAAGGTGAAGATTACAAATTAATTCTATTAACACTAATACATCTGTTCACATCAACATTCTAAATGCCATGCTCAAAAGAGTCGATTGCCTCTTTGGGGGGTACCGGGAGAAACTTATTATCTAGGCCTGAAAACTCACAAAAATCAAACTCGCCCCTTCAGCAGCTCACTCGGAACTTCTAAATGTCTATTGCATTAAAGTTGCTTGAATCCTCTGAACATTCATCACACATCATCATTGCAAGCTGATTGGAAAGAAAATAGTCAGGTTGGTTCTTTTCAAACTAGTATTTCATCAAGACACTTCAGTTGACAAACTGCAAGTAAAAGAGTAGACACAACTATCAATCATTCTACCGACTAATGAGGCATCTCGGAAGATGGTCTTATAAGAACACAAAACCATTCAGATGACAATCTGAACAGCGATCGTACCAATAAGGAAGAACAGGAAACTGTCCTCCAAAATGCAGAGTGATTCCATAGATCCAGAAGAGATTCAACTACTAAAAGACTCAGGCAAATGATCAGAGTACCATTAGCCTTCTTAAATTTAAAACACATCTTTTGACGCAAGACCTGCACCCAATATTATAGCAAGCAACAAAAAGACTATTTTCCAGATGTACAAAAAGCTTCAAACTTTTTGTGGATTTGACTATTAAAGGGAAAAAGGCACAATGTGAAACAGAAAGTTGCCCTGAAAAATTCAAATCTAAAGACAACAAAATCGGCCTTATTTAAGATTCTTACAACAAAACGTATGAGCCATGTTCTTCCCAAAACTCCCAATCATTCAACACCAAGTTTGACACTTTACATCTGATATGCCAATTTCGCCTAATTTACTAAGAGCTCAATAGTCTACTAAACCCAAGTCATTCCATCTTTGCTTCTCCTCCATCATCTAGTCTTGACTCGTCCTACAACATGAAAAGAGTGCACTTATTGATCCAGAAGGAAAATTGAGCACATCAATTAGAACTCCTACTTGCTGTTTCATTGCAAACTAAAACATAAAAAGAACTAGGTGAAACTAAAACCAGAGAACTCAAATGTGTGTCCTAAAACATGACGGTTCATTAGATCTGGGGAAAAGGTTTGTGATAAAAAGAATCCTGATCGAGTAAAATCTGCAACCTAGTGTGTCGATTTACAGAATTTGCTTCTTAAATTGACCTAAATCCAGCAAGCACTAACTTACCAGGAAACCAAAAGGAAGAAAAGAACATCAAGGATGGGGACAAACGTTGCTAGATACCTAAGTCAAAGAGAGAAAATCAACCAGTTAGGCAGCCTACAAGCAAGACTGGTTCTCTGGGAAAAAACACCAAAACAGAGAAACAGGAAGCCAATTAAACAAAACGAGCAGACACCGGACACCCCCAATGTCTAGGATCTTTGCACCCAAAAGTTCAGCAACGAAAGCTATCCAAACAGCAGACATGCTATCACTCATTAATGCTTGGAACATATGGAGAAATCAACACCAAGACACCGAAATCAATCATGCATATCATGAGCATGAACAAATCAAAACCCTAATAAGGAGAACATAAAACCATTCAAGCACCCAACTCCAGAGTATTGCAGCAATATAAGCACACAATTCCAAGTCCGGAATAAAAGAAGCAACAATCCAAAATAGATGCGCGGAAAACAGTGGAAGTACGTTTAAGTTTCAACCTTCAGGAAGCCATCCATAACCACGCTGAGAGATGGAAAGCATCGAGGTCATCAATGCTGAGGCAGTAGCAGTGTGGTAAGGCAGCATGGATTCCACCGCAGAGCTCATCTCGACTGGAAGCCTGCGTACCCAACCAAAAACAGAAAGAAATTATCACAAACAAAAGGACATAAAGAATAAAGGAAGGAACTTGCAACCATTCAATTCAATTCAATTACGATATCAATCTCCAACTGTGAGTACCCAATGTCTACCTGAATGCAGGGCGAGAGAGGGGCTTGCTGGCGGAAGCACTAAAGGATGAAGTTGGAGCGGATTTTGGAGCGGCCTTGGTTTGCGATGCAAAACGGGCAGCCGCACTGCGAGCGGAGGACGACGAGCGGAAAATGGATCTGCCTGCGGCGGCGAAGGCGGCCATTCTATTGAGTTTAGCGAGTTGCTCGACGGAAGAAAAATTGATACACAGACCAAGGTTTTGGCTGGTACTGGAAGTAACCTAAGAGCAGAATTTTTTTTCGAGTCATCGAACAACAGCTGGTAGGATAACCGTCCGGCCCAGCAACCCATAAATTCTTTCTTGGGTGGCCTTTCGGTATCTAAGCCCAGTAGCCCAATTACTCATTGCCGTTTTGGTCTTCTCGTCGGGAGGGTAAAGAAACGCATAAACGGAAAACGAAACGCGGAGAGTAAACCGAACCCCTAAACTAGAAAAATGGTCCGAGGTGACGGAGTTGTCCTGTCGCCAGTCGCGTCCCTCTCTCCATTCTGAAGAAAGTTAGGGTTTAAGTAGATTTTCTTTCGATTCGAGCGTAGGATTCCGCATTGCCGAGCTTCAAGACCTGGTTGGAAGTTCGGATTCTTTCGATTCAATCTAATAGAGGGGCAGCAATGGCTTCCCTCTTCAAGGTATGCGCCTCTTACCCTCTCCCCTCTCCCTCTCTTTCTTTCTGCGGTTTTAGATCGAAGATAATTGGTGCTAAGCTCAGTGCGTTATGACTTGGAATTTTGCTCGTTGCCCGTTATAGCCAGCATCATTTCTGAGTTAGTTATTTCCATGGTATGTTAACTGGTGTAGGATCCGGCGAAGCTCTCAGCTTATCGGGACAGACGCTTTCCTGGAACACAGGAGGAATTTGAGCATGCACTGCAGACCTCGGTTACCGTATACATTGGGAACATGTCTTTCTACACTACGGAAGAGCAAGTCTATGAGCTATTCACTCGGGCTGGGGAAATTAAGAAGATAATCATGGGATTGGATAAGAACTCAAAGACTCCTTGTGGCTTTTGTTTCGTCTTGTGAGTCTTCTAATCTTGCTTCTCGTAGTTTAGTCGGTAGAAAGATAGTTTTGTGTTGCCTGCATGCTCTTGTTGAAATGCTTTTCTTCAAGTTTGAAAGTGCAGACAAATGTTATGGCCAGCCAGGTTGTATAACTTAGCCAAGGGCCTCTGAAACCATTAGCACTGGGACTAAACGTTAGGGCTTAACTGGGAAATCTCAACCATAACCATATCTAGAGTTTTACCTCGATGTCAAGCCTATTTGTCGTACTCGAATGCTGGATGAGTTCTTCAATTCACAATTTACTTGGGTGTGGATTGTTAGGATAAACTACAGTTATTCCTGGGCTTTACCTAGTTATGTATTGTTGTCCTCAATGGTTGTGCTGCTCACGGGGTTAGGTTCCTGGCTGTTTCTGGAAAGTTAGTAATTCCCTTTGACAAGTGCTGTGTGCATGTGTGCATCAGATACTATTCCAGAGAAGATACCGAGGATGCTGTGAAGTATATAAGTGGTACAATTCTTGACGACCGCCCCATTCGAGTCGATTTTGATTGGGGATTTCAAGAAGGAAGGCAGTGGGGCCGAGGTCGAAGTGGTGGACAGGCATGGACGGTTCTTTCAGTTTCAATTGATATTTCTCAACAGTTCTTCCCCCAAAACCTCCTTCTTTGGGCGGACTCACTTATGCCCCAAAAATTCATTAGACTTTTCTTTTTCTGCCATTTTCCAGGTCCGAGATGAGTATCGTACAGACTATGATCCTGATATCCTTATTCTACAACCTCTTCATTTTTTATTGAAACAATCTAGTTCTGACTGTTCACTAAATAGTTGAAAGGGCAACCAGAGGCTTTTCTGATTTCCTTAACAAGGTTATACGCAGGGGTGGTTATGGGAAGTTAGTGCAAAAAGAGCTGGAAGCTCAAAGGCAGCTTGTAGATTATGGGACTGGATCGCTTGGTTCGTTTCCTCCGATTATGCCACCACAATGTGAGTTATTCATTTAACTAATTTCTAGTTATCAGGCATACAACAAATGTGATGCTCAGTTCCATTTTGTTTGCTGGTGCTTGGGAAAACTCTAGGTTTTTAATCTTAGTTTCTTGAGCTTTTTATGCTAGTAGTAGCATATTATAAAGCTAAATAGCGTTGTAGTGGAATCTGGCCTCTAGTTTGGTAAAAAAAAAAAGTGAATATATAATAGTGGACTCAATGGTAATTGGAGTTGGAGACATTTGGAATTTGCAAGAGTTCTCCGTTGTCTATCCTTCATTTCTTTCAAAGCGTTCCATCACTTCCTGGCAATATTGGTAGTTTATACTCTGCATGAATGTTTTGTCAAAATTATTCTGCTAATATTTACTGCCACAGTTGCGAGACATGGGGGCCCTGGTCATGGTGGCTCGCATAGGCAAGGAAGAGGTATTCTCATATTGCACTTTAAACTTCTCTGAAATCTGTTAGTGTGATATTATCCAGCGTTACTGATATCTGGCTCCATAATTGGCGAACCGATTTCCATTTTTTTGGAATGAGTAGATTTTCATAGAAAGCGGTTCCGAGATGATGACCGACATGCTCGTGGTGAGCCTCCAAAAAGAGCGTACGAACAAGAATCTCGAAGAAACTCTGATCCTGAATCCCGACCGGTAATTTTCTAAATCATTTATGATTTCAGCTTTCCTTCTGTTTATCAGTGTGTTGCTAGAGTTACATACTCGTGATCCCTGAGCTCTTCCTTCCGGATTCTTGAGAAACCATATCGATTATGTTGCCTTATATTTTGGATCATTTGTCTGTCTTTCCTTCCAACAGGAGAAGAATCCACGTTTCAGAGAAAGCGGTGACTCTGACGAGGAAGATGATGAGAAGAAGGGAAAACCATAGCCAATCTATCCGTTTTATTACCTTTGGGAACGTACTGAGAGTGGGAGTTGACATGAAATATCTCGTAGCACAAGTTCTCTAAACATTTAAGGATGAACTGTTGTGTCAAAAGAAGAGTGAGGATCAATTGTAAACCACCATGGCAACTTCAAAAAGAACAGTTACTGTTAGAGGTTAAATATTTTCCGGCATTAAGATCAGATTAACCAAATATTCTCTTTCTCTGTATATATTATGTGTGTGTCTGTGTTTCTGCTGTTCCTAGTGCAGCAGGAATTTCTCAGTAGCCAGTACACACTTGACACTTACCCACTTAACAGGAACTTCTAAAGGTATGGCTTTTAAAGCTTTCTGGCAGTAAATTAGCTTGGTTCTCTCATTTTGTAGAACGACTTGTGCATAATTCCTTAATGAACAAGATACAGATAACTTGCAGAAGAATGGAAGAAAAAAAAGCAATTAACCTTAAATATACATAATCCTGTTGAATGAGTTCACTGTTCCAATATTATCTGTAGTTTTGTTTTCATCGTATCAAAGAATCCTTTTTACATCCCCTACCGAACCACCAGCTTAACATCAGGATTCCTCATCGATTTCAGCCACATATCCGCCATTATTCTGGAAGAAATGCTCCACAACACATCCTGCTCTTTCCCAGTTGCGACCTTCCCCTTCTTGCCTCCCTTCACAATTCCATAAGCTACCAGCCATTGCATGGCAGTCAACCTTTGCCGCTCTGTATCAAACGCATTCCTCTTCCCTTTACTTCTCACCTTCATCCCTCCAAGATGTAAGCTCCTCACCTTGAACTTCTTCTCTTCTTCGTCTTCGTACTTCTTCTCATTTCCATCAACTGCTCGACCTCCATGGATGATAACCAAAATAGGCCCTCCAACTGCTTCATATCGCCTCAACGGATCCCGTAGCTGGACACAAACAGCTATAGTGATCGTCTCTTCACTCTCTCCCGACTTCTCACTTCTCCTTATCCAGTCTTCCAAAGGAATTGCAGTTTCCAGAACTTGGCTTCCCTGAACTGGAGAGACGTCAAAGGGAGCGTCTTCATCAGCCATTTCAGCCTGGATTCTCAATCCTTCAATGGCCATCGCTTCAATCTTCTGCAATGAAATAGCCAACACCTCCTCGGCAGTCAAAGGTTCCTCGCTCACGTTCCATATCCCTGTCGAGATCCTCTCTTTCCTCCCTGAGCTCATTGCATTTGCCATAGTCTTCACCGAAGCAATGGTTCTCGCAGCACTCGAGGTTGCTACTTCTTCTTTGTTCCTCCCTTGGATGATTGCAGAGGCTATCCCTTCAAACGCAACTTGCTCTGCTGTTTTCCCCATCAGCTCGTCCAGCGGCATTGTAGACAGAATCTGTGAACTCAGCTCTTCAAATCCAACACCAGCAATCTTCTGAAACAACTCGAACCCACTAAAGGATGAGGAAGACTGCTGCTGTGTTGATGCAAGAACGAGTGGTCTGGATAGCTGCATCGCGAGCTTTGGAGTCTCCTTTTTAGTCACAATAACATCATTGAGTGGGTTCATGGCCACCAAGTAACCTCCATCCCGGGTTTGAACCACGCAGCGGAGTCCCTTCCCGAGATCCGAGACATAGGCTTGGGAAGAATCAGAATCAGCTTCAGCTGAATCATAATGGATTTCAGGTAATTGGCTGAAATTACTGAACTGGACTCCATCCATCCCTTCTCCTTCATTTTCAAGCATTTGAAGAAACTCTTTCGTCACTGTCTCTTCATCCGCATCCAGCTTCTGTGATTCAGCCTCATCATCACCATCATCATTTTCCTCTTCTCTCATCATGGATTCCAAAGCTTTAATCTGCTGAGCTATGGAGTCAAGCTCAGACAATCGGTTCAAGTGAACTTGATCATGCACGATTTCCTTGACGACTTCGCTAGAAACGGACTTCCCTTCCGAGTTCCCCACAGAATCGGCATCTCCATCTCCATCTCCACCACTCTTCTCTTCTTCCTTGTCCTGAGAAATCTCCACTCCTTTATCCACCACCTCAAACTCTGGAAGAAGGTCAACCTCTTCTTCCACTTTTCGCTCACCATCCTTCTTCTGACCTGACGAAGGAGGAAGTTGAGGAACAACAACAGGAGCTGGCTCGTCGAGATTCAAATCGTCAATCCCCTGAAGATCAGCTGGAATTCTGGCCTGCGAAGGAGTCCAAGCTTCAGCGCGACTAGTAATCCGAGGACTAGTCACGCTGAAAGACATTTTGGACTGTTTACGCCCAAAAGAAGGCGTAAAGCTCTTCACTAAACTACTACCACTGGCTTTCGCCCCTTGATCTTGAGAAGCTTGGCTGTAGATGTCAATCCCACCATCCTTCTCCATAATCTGAAACCCTAGCTTCAGGACAACCTCAGCTCCTTTGGCCTTGCCAGCCAGCGTGAACGTGGTGTCCCACTGACGAATCCTGGTTCCTTGCAGGTTCTTGGCCATGGATTCCTGAATCAGCTCGCTCAAGTCCACCGAGCTCCTCCCGAAATCGAGCTCCTCTGCATCGACGGCGAAGACATAGATGTAGAAAACCCTCGGCTCGAATTTCAGCTGCTTGTTGTTGCTGCTGTTGGTGGTATTTCCAGCAGCAGCAGCAGAAGAAGAAGAGCAGTAGACGTGGCACTTGATGAAAAGCGTCTCTTCGAAATCCGCGGCGCCCTGGGAGACCCGGGAAGGCATGGTGTGAACGGAACCATCTTTGGTCTCCTTCTTCCTGACGCAGACGGAGAGCCTGAGCCCATTCATGGAGGAAGGAAGCCCTTGTACGGCTACCACTTCGACGGAGAATAAACAGCTCAATTTCTGCATACCAATGTGGGAGAGCGCTCGAATCGGCTTCCAGTTCCAAATCCCTCCTTTCTTCTCTGCTGCTTTGCCGTCGTCCAGCTTCTTGCCATCATCAGGTTTGACGGTGGTTTTGACGGTGACGACGTCGTCGTCGTCGAGCTTGGGTCTGGAGCGCCAGGGGGACAAGGACATGCGCCTGGTGCGGGGGCGGGAGGCGGATCTGCTGCTGCTGCTGCTGTTTGCGACGGCGGCGGCGTCGGAGGAGGGTTTGATGATTTCGTCGGTGGAGAGGATGGAAGGGAGTGAGGTTCTGGGGAGGGCGAGGGAGTTGGTTCTCCTGGCGGTGGAAGCAGTGTGGGTCTGGTAGAGGGATTGGCTGAGTGCTTCCAGCTCTTCCAGCAGCTGGGTGTTGGAGTTTCGCCTGCTGGAGGAAGGTGAATTGGCAGCGGCAGCCATTGCGGTGGTGGTTGTTCCTTGTGAAGCAGAGGAGGGGAGAAAGGAAGGATAAGGAGATGGGAATGGTGTTGGGTTATGTTTTCCACATTGTGATCGAGAGGTGCAAGTGTTGCCAAGTTTTTGTGGGATGTGGAGGACTGGAGGTTTAAGCTGATTTGGTTGGCTGGCTGGGCCTTTCCTAAATTATGGGGTGATGGGTGCTGAGACGATAAGAGGAAAGCTGCAGACTGCAGGTTTGGTATTGGCGATTTGCGCGTTTGTGGCCTTCGTTTTCTTTTCCATTTTCCCTGCTGGAAGAGTCGACAGAACCTGAAAGGGATGGGAATTACGGAATTTATTGCTTCTTCTGAAATGTAGAAGGAAGGATTGGCATGCAATGCCACACGGTAAATTTTGGAAGAAGAAACAATTTCACTACAAAAGCAGGGGGGCTGCTGCTGACGCTGCCAAATCGGGTTATTCTAGTCATTTCACGTTCCATGCCTACTACAGAATATGCCAGTTACGAAAATTTGGTTTAGTTAAGGATGCTAACTGTCGATGTGTTCCAATTAGGTGTACAGAACCAAGTGGTTTCTCGTGGGCTCATGTTGTTATGCCCTCTCAAATATTCCTTTTCTTCTCATTAATTAGGCGTTTGTTGAAAAATAAGAATAGTTTGTAAAAATTTAAAGAAGGAAAACTCTAGAAAAAGATATAAGTGCATTCAATTTGGATTAATTGTTCGTTTTGAAAGAATTTTTCAACCAATCGAATTGATTACCCGTATGGTAGGAAACTTTCATCGATTGAATTAATTGTCCGTATTCAAGAAAAGTTTCGATCAATCGTATTGAAGGATAGTTATATCAATTAGGTTAATTTTTCATATTGAATGAATGTTTAATCATAGGGATAATATTTTCGTATGGCCTGAACTTTGACCAAAATAAACATCCTGTCCAATCTTTTCGATCTATAACATCCTGGCCCGAACTATACACCAAAATAAACAATTTGTCCAGATCCGACTTTTGACCGTTAACTTGGACGGTCAAACGCGTTGACCGTTAGTCAACGCGCCATGCCACTGCCAAGTCAACATAAAAAATTTAAAATAATTCACAATTTCCACACATTCTCTAATTTTAAATTATTATAAATTAAAAAAAATCATCTAATACCTTAGTTAAACCAAAAATAAAAAACAAAAAAATTAAATATTTATCAGATCTTCTAACTTGGCAGTGACGTGGCGCGTTGACCATTAGTCAACGCGTTTGACCGTCCAAGTTAACGGTCAAACATCGGGTTTGGCCAAATTGTTTATTTTGGTGTATAGTTCGGGCCAGGATGTTATAGATCGAAAAGATTGGCCAGGATGTTTATTTTGGTCAAAGTTCAGGCCATACAAAAATATTAACCCTTAATCATATTGGTTACCTTTAATTTCCTTTTGAAACACCGGTTTCCAGTCCTCCACTAAGAACGGAGAACTAAAGACCTTAGTATATAAACTAGTGTGGGCCCCGGCCAGTTGGCCGGAGGAAGGTAGGATGGCAATGGGTCGGGTTGGGTCGGGTTTTGCCAAATTCAAATCCAAATTCATGGGTTTATCCGTGAAAAAAATTCGGGGTAAAATCCACTGGGTTTGAAAAACTCAACCCCCTGGGTATCCGCGGGTTCATGGGTACCCACAGGTTTTTGTCTTAAAAAATTTACAATAACAAGTTGCTATCAAAATTAAAGTCAAATATCAATCTCTCAATACAAATTATCCATATATAAAATACCATTCTAGAAAATTCAAGCAAATAACAAATTATCCATAAATAACATGATTAATTGAAAGCTTCTTCCTTTCAATTAAGTTTCTTCACTCTCCACTCGATAACATCAACTTCATTCTACACAATTAGAAAGAAAAAATTAGACATGTCTCCACAAACATAAATAAGATAAGTTGTTTAGAATATTAAATATATCGAGAAAATTAATTATATGGGTGTGGGCGGGTACCCATGGGTCGGGTTTACCTAAACCCAAACCCAACCCAACCCGATGAATATTGAACGGGTTTAAACCCAAACCCGGCCCAAAACCCGTCAACACGGATTTTACCCGCGTTGACCGAGTTGGGTAGGGTGGGTACCCGTGGGTTCGGATTTTGTTTTCATCCCTAGAGGAAGGTGAGGTATGAAATTTGATAATGTAATGGGGTGTATAACTTATTGTTGTATAGTTTTTTTGGGAAACACGTGATAAAAATAGTGAATTTTAGCAGGAAAGAGACATTAATGATGCAACAAATCAAAAATCGGCCTTATGAACCAAAATCAAGTACCTGTTACCTTGTGAAACAATATTGTTTCTGGTAATATGATGAGGTGGAGTAAGTTTTATAGAAACTGAATTCCAAAAAATTGAATAAAAAATCGCCTATCTCGTCGGTTTTCGGGAAATGAGCATCTCACAATCGTTGCTAGCTTTTACTCGGCCTGTTGGCCGATTAATTTGGTTTATAAAACTTTCATCTTGTCGTCATTGTGCTTTCTGGTTTTTTTCAGGCTATGATAAAATCTAAGGAAATAAAGAACGAACAACACGATTTGGGATAGGAACCGTCGTTGTCGTATCCCTAGAAAATGGTGGTAAACACGGACTCACCTGCCAAACTAGTTTGGATTGAGATTTTTATCGGGTATCAGGGAACCATGTGATTATAAATTAGACTTGATCAAAAGGGGCCAAAACTTGAAATGCAGCCTGTTTGACCGACCCATGCCAAATTCTAATTATTCTTTACTTTTAAACTTTTTATTTGAAAATAAAAAATAGTGAAAAAAAAGAGATGACTGCCATTTGCACATCACTTATTCGGGAATAAAACCATAGAAATTCAAAAGGAACTGAAAATGTTAGGATCGTTTTAATGTTTAAAATAACCAAATAGATCTTTCTGTTTAGTTTTTTACTAACAAATACCAAACGATTCCCTATAAAATACACTATGATTTGATCATTATAATATCAAATAATTATATAATATATATTTGAAATGATAAAAATTGGACTAATTGGGTTGGTCGAGGTTGAACCATTGAATAACTTTAAAATACATTATATTTTAGCCACTAAGATATAAAATAATAGCATAATATATTATGCCAGAGAAAATAGCTTGTTTTAGAATGTCAAACCAATGATGTTCATTTGTTTTACTTGATGGCCAAATCCCGTGTAGGTCAAACCAATTCAACTCTTTTATTTTATGGTTAGCGGTTAGCCCATTAGATACCATGCATTAGTTCATTGTTAAATTTTTTATTTTTAGCAATAAAAAGAAGTATTGTTTTTGCCTCTTCATATATATTTTATCACCACGGAGAAATAAAAGGGCTTAATGAAAAAATTGACACTCTTGAACCCGTTTAAATCCGCATGTGTACGGTAAGTTGGCCCGTTCCACAGAGGAAAGAGGAAAAAATTGACACTACCTATTCTATAATTCCTACAAACGCTCTTGGAGCAGGAAATTTGAAATGGGGGAAGGGTTTTTTCCTCTCTGCTATTATATCTTTTTAATTTAAAAAGATGCAACAAATGTACTTAGTGTGATTGGTTATGATCCTTACTTTTCCTTAAAATGGTCATGGTTCGAATCCCAGTACGTGTCTTTTTAATGAATTAAAAAAAGTAAGTGTGAAGACCAAAATGCCCTTCCTACTTTCACTCTCGTTGCAGGAAATTTGAAATGGGGCTCCCGTTTTTCCCTTCGATGTATTATATTATGTGTAGATATATATATAAAAAAAGAGTTGAGTTCTCTAACCCTAAGATACATATGAAATTGAGCATAAAAATTGAGTCCCCGAGTCAGCCATATCATTAACCCCTATTTTTCTAGTTTGATTTCAACACTTTTAAGACGATGTGTTGTTTATATGCCTGCCAAACAACATATCGTATCTCGCTTGAGCGATATCAATCGCCCCTTACATTTTCCTGGAGCCAATTTCCACCGCTGGAGACAAAAGATGTTGTTCTATCTCATAACCAAGAAGCCACCTCCATATGTCATCGGTTCTGGCTGAAGATTCCACTTATGCGGAGAAGACTACAATTGCTGCAAAGTGGAAAGAAGATAACTTTCTCTCAAAGAACTGCATCATCATTTTCTGGCGGATGATCTCTACGAACTATTATTTGGATCATAACAACACTACAAAGATGGTCTGGAATGCTCACCAGAAAAAGTACGACATTGAGGATGTTGGAGCCAATAAGTATGTTGTCAGCCAATACTTATACTACAAGATGGTGAACGACAGGTTCGTTGAAGATCATTCACATGAACTCCAAAAGATTGATCATGAGATCGTCACATAAGTTATGCCACTTGACGATCAGTTTCAAGTAGGGTGGGAATTTAGACCAAACCGTATGGAACCACGGTCTAGACCGTATTGTATGGTTTGGTATGGACTGTGAGACCAGAACTATGGTCTGGGTCTAGTTTGCAGTCTCCTTTAGTGTGTGGTCTGAGGTGGTCAAGACTGCGGTCTACCGCAGTAAACTGTAATAGACCGTGGCGCACTACCTACTAACTCGGACCAAATAACACTAAGTTAAACCTCCATTTATGTATCTAAAGAACAAAGTCATTTTATTCATCATCCAATTGAGAGCCAACAAATTGCCTAAATGATCGCTTATGTGTTATCTCCTTATTCAAGAACCACACAAAAATCAGAAAGATTCATAAATAATATTAACCGAAAATGTCTAGACTATGGAGTCGATAAAACATAAACACTACAAAAATTCATGCCCTAGATGAGATAAGAATATTATTGAGAGATAAGCGACCATCTTAGTGGTTCAAAACGACCCTAGCCTCATCACGAAGGTGATCGACGCAAGAACCTTCGGATCACCCGAGTGAGGAAGAGAAGCGGTAGCACAAAAAGGAAGAGTGAGACAAGGCTATTTGATTTGTGTTTTTTTTAATGGATACTAGATAGAGCCGTGGAGACTCGGGAGAGAGTTTAAAAATTAAAAAGCTCACTTCTCTCCTCATATATTTCTTCTTGTTTAATTACGATCATTAAAATTTTGTTTTACTAACATATTGGTCACTGAAATATTTATTTTTATAGATAGGCGAGGGTTTGAGGGTGGAAAAAGAGTGAATTCTTTTAACATGGTCTGCCTGGTCCAGACTGTACCGGACCGCACCGAATAGGCATGATCTGTTCTGTATCGTATAGTATATGGTCTGATCCATAGTCTGATCCAGACCGCACCATTTCCTACCCCTAGCTTCAAGTTGCTAGTATCATTTTATAAGCTTCCCCTTCATGAAAGGGTTTTAAGAATGTTCTTAGGCATAAAATCAATAAAAAATCATTGGAAAGTATATTCACTTTAGGATAGAGGAGGAAGCTCATAAACAATATATGAAGGAAGATTTGCTGGTTGTCACTGCTAAGCGACCCACTCTTAGGGCTCTGAAACCAAACCATAAAAAATTCAAGAATCAGAGCAAAAAGTCAATCAGATCCACACCAATCATAATGGTAGCCAAAAAGTCATGGTATTGTCCTCTACGAATGACACTATATTTCTTTGATAAAATTGCGGGAAACTACGTCATATGACATAAAAGTGTAGGAAAAAGTCTAACACTGGTCACATTGCTAACTTGACTGAAGAGGAGGATTTGGTTGAGATGATAGCAAAGATATTATCTTCCTTGTAAGCCTAAAGGATAGTGGTTGGATAATGATGCCTTAAAGCACATGTGCAATAATCGTGTTATATTCAAGACCTATACTAAGACATCTCCTAATAAGATACTATTGGTGGGTACTGCTCACACTACTATTGTGGCTTGTTTTGGGAGTGTGGAATTGAAATTTACCTATAGCAAGACTCTTACTCTCCTAGATGTCTTGCACACACCTAAGATAAGAAAGAATATTGTTTCAGACTACTTTCTCAACAATGTTGAGTTTCATCAAGCTATAGGTCTTGATTTGTAAACTCTTACTAAAAATGAGAAATATGTGGGAAAGGAGTATGCATGTGATGAAATGTTTAAGTTGAATGTTGAAGTGACTAAGATCTATTGTTATGGTTACATATTGTGTAATTTTAATGTTTGCCATACTCGTCTTTGTCATGTGAACAAATGCATCATGAAGAATTTTATAATGAGATTTATGACATATCCCTAAACTGTCTTTGGATGAATTTTATAATGTGATTTATGTAGTCAAACTAAGATTAAAAAAAAAGTAGGGTTAATACCT